TCTAAGTTCCAATTTTCCTGTTCCAGGGCAATGAACACAGGCAGAATATATATACTGTTAGGAGGAAACACTCAAATGTCCATATGTCCACTTAAAGAATTAAAATGAAAAAAAAAAAAAAGTAAATAGATATGTGGATGGATCTATACAAATATTCACCTCGTTTTCAGGTATTCTCTTCAGTATTTGATCATAACAATTCTGCTAGTTGTTAGTTCTGTCTATGAAGGAAGAGTCCATGCCAGATGGGGTATTTTCCTTTTTCGCCTTTGGACTATATAATTAACCATTTCTACAATTTACACCTATAAAATGGTACTGGAACAGACCACTGTCATGGGTTCATCAGTAGCAGTCATTTTTCCCCTTCTTGGTAGCTGGTGCAGTGCAATGTTTTGACTTTCAGCTCGGGAACAGAGCTGATAACAAGCGATGTTTTGGTTTGGCCAAGGACTTTGTGAGCCTCATGCTCTGCCAGGGAGGAGGGGAAGCCAGGAGGAAGCAGAGACAGGACACCTGACCCAAACTGACCAAGGAGGTATTCCATACCACAGCACGTCATGCCCAGGATGTAACTGGGAGTGAGCCGGAAGGGCTGGGGACTGCAGGGTTGGAGGAGGTATCGGTCGGAGCTTGGTTGGGCCTGGGGGGCGAGTTATCGGTCGGCTGGTGGTGAGATGATGTATTCTCTTCCCTTGTTATTTCCCTTATCATTATTATCACTGGTGGTAGCAGTAGTGATTTGTGTTATACCTTAGTTACTAAACTGTTCTTATCTCAACCCGTGGGAGTTGCATTCTTTTCGATTCTCCTCTCCGTCCCTCCGGGAGCAGGGGGAGGGCAAGAAAGGGGGGGGAAGTGAGCGAACGAATTACCTGACTGGGTTTAAACCACGACACCACTTTTCTGGACTTGCTCTTAATTTCCTTCCCTCTCTCATCTCTTCTGGTGTGTGACAGACATTTGGGGTCAGCCACTCAGTCACCTCATTTCACTCCTTAACACAGCCAGGTTCTTGGCAAGTACTTTTGAGATAGTCTGATGGCAGGGAATATGCAGAGAAACAGATGTGTACCTCATCTCCCTGTAGAAAGTTTTCTTTGCTTCTGAAATTCTCATTTCTAAGTTCTCAATGTCAAAGAACATTTCTAAGCATAACAATGCGAAGCTTTAAACAGGTCTTCCCCAGTCAAGAGGCACTGCCCAGAGTCTGGGGATATGTGGCATGTTCACCCTCCAGCCCAGTGGAGAAGATGATGCACCTATGCAGGTGAGGACTGATTCCCTCAGCAGTTTCTGGTGGAAAAGTTAAGGGACAGACTCAACCCTGCTGCTCTGCAGCATCAGAGCAGTGCTGCTGGGTACTCTGGCTTTGACTAGAGCTGCTCCTCACCTCCTGGGAGCACCTCACCTCTGAAGCACCACCCACAGGTAGCAGCGACAGGGCAGGCCATCCCAGCTCTCTGAAGACAAAAAAGTTTAGCTTATACATGTGAAAAAGAAGACTCTCTGAAACCTATTCAGCTTTCTAGTGCCCCTATTTCTTTGTACAGGTTTGTTTGCTATTTCTTGCTTGTTTTCTTCCCCTCACCACATAAATGCCTTTGTTTCTTCTCTGTGTAATGTAGAAAAGCAAGCTGTCTTTGTAGTTTGGAAAATCCACAGAAGCTCTCCGTGCTTTGTGTAGACCTTATGCTTAACAACTGTTGTAAGGGAGGAAACCACCCAAACATGGTTCCTAAATTCAGATTAAAAATATCTTTCTGGATCTTTTCACTCCTGAGTTAATGTACATAGAGGCTAAGATTTCCTTTGTATTGAGAAGCCTGCAGTGAAGACAAGTTTTGAATTTAGACAGGGACTGATTTCCTGTTTCTGGTAATGAAAAAAATATGGTGACAGAATTGGTTCATGGGATAGTGGGGGTAATATGTTTTTCCAGGTGAAGAAAGTGAGGAAGAAGTTAATACGTGAGATAAAATGTATGTATATGAGTTTCCCTTGTAGCAGAGTCAGAATTTACCAGTTCCATCAAATGGAACTTTACCAGTGTCATTTATTTTGCAATGAATGGTACTGTCCCTTCCTGGGCTGAGGTACCACTGGGCGATGAACTTTCAGACAAGGAAGCAGTATCAACATGACATACACACATCACATGAAGTTATTTTCTTTCACTAAATATCCTGAAGCCTGCCATTGCTCTACCATATACAATGCACACAGTAGCTTTGGTGAATTTTCAGGAATAAGACTTATATTTTTCCTCCAAATTCTTAAAACCTTTATTTTTTAGCCTTCAACACCGGCCATAAATCCTGATGTAGTAACAGGAATTACTCAGGTTACAATGATCTCTCCTTTCTAAATAACTGGGAAAGACACAGTTTAGACAGTTTCCATAATTTGCTATCTTATTAGGATAACCAAATTCCTTAGTTTTGCTTTACCCTCTTGACATTTACTTTGTATGATTCAGTTTTATAGGTGTTCTAGGAAGGACTGGCTGTTAAGAAAGTATTTTCTATAAATCTGTATGGGAAACTCAAGCAACAAAACCAGTAGCAGTAACAGTGTAAATAAAATTTCACTTCAAAGAAGTTTTTGAAACCTCACTGTATTTGTGACCTGTTTTCTGTCCTCAAGATGAAATCCAAATGACTTCAATGTAAATTAAAATTAGCAAATTGTATGATTGTAAAGGTCAAAATCCAGATCACTGAATAACGAACAGCATTTCTTTCAGATCTATTGTCTTCCCAAATTTAGAAAGAACTGAAAACTTCCTTCTTCTCCATAGAAATTAGCACTGCCAGTAGAAAGTTTATAAAATCTTTTATTCACCTTTCTCTAGGACTTAATAACCTGAAAATTGATTTATTTTCAAGAAAAAAACAACATACTGTATAATTTCTCTGACTTCCCATTTCTGTGTGCAACAGAAAGAGATTTAATATTGACCAGGCTGCTGCGTTTCCTTCTTTTTAAAAATATTTATTAAATAGTAGTCTAGGGCTTTTTAGAGTCTGGATGTCTTCTTACAATACTGGAAACTCCAAAGTACATGCATGTTGCTGTATGGCAACACCTATATTAGGTTAGAACAAAACCACCTTTCTCTATGTCTCAGATACAGTAAACTGAAAAGGGAAAGGAAGAAAAATTCTGGGCAAATTTTTGACTGAACATAAGTGAAAAGTTCTTTCAGGTAACAAAAGTTAGTTTCCTTACTGCAGGAAGCACAGCTAGTCTACACCTGCATTTCAGCCTCTACATTAACTGCTGGTGGATTAGAGATCTGCGCGCTAGCTGGCAGCAGCCTAATTGCCATAACAAAAAGCTGCTGAGCCAGATTTCTTCCCTTAAGAAATGGACACGCTGCACTACTTAAGAAAGTTTAAAAATACATTTTCCTGGGCTTTGTGGCTGACTTTGGGTATAGGAAACATTCTAGCAATGCTTGATAAGTACTGCTTGCCTTTCTCTTATTCCTATCCTCAGCACCCTACAAATATGGCCTATATTTTATTCCTGTTCTACAGGTTCAGAGCCATCTCACTGCCAGCTAAAAACACAGGCTTTGTTTACACTGGTAGTTAAAACATCCATCAGTTTAGCTTTTCAGGTGAATATTAATCTGGTCAATTTTCCACCATGTATATGGTCACAAAGAGCAGAACCCTGCTAGTCCTTCGTGCAAATAAGATTATGTACATACAAGACCCATTGTTAGTATTATCACTTGAGGCATATTGTTCATTCACATAAGGCTATTTCAGTGTGTTTCTGGTGTGTCATACATTTTTATAGACATGGCTGCTGATTTTAAGATTTTGTTAGCTGGCTTAAAAACTAAACCTAAAATAGCTACCATGTCTGTGTAGATGTTTTTGGAAGAAATACAGTTTTTTTTACGGTACATTATTTGGTATTCGGCTGATGGAAACTGAGCCTGGTCGCTCTGTGTTTTCAGCTGGCTGAATGCAAATCTTTGAAGAAGCAGAAGCTACATAACGATATTTAAGATGACATTATGCTTGAGGTGGCAATCCCTGCTCAAGCACAACATACTATCTGGAAAGCTTGTAAGGTTTATTAACCTGACCACAGTACCATGTAAAATGTGGCGCTGTGTTTGCTCTGAGCATATCCAGATATGAGACACCCTGGTAGCTACATTTTGAAATACAATTGTGAATGCAAAATACTCAGCTGGGAGGAAGGCATGAACAAGCAAACTGCCGTTCAAGTTATCTTCTCAGCTGCTACACTCAAATGACTACAGCAAGCAAGGAGCAGGATGAAGCTGCAGAGCCTGAACCTGCACCCTCCTGGAGCACAATCAAATGCCACAGTGAACACCATCAATATTAAAAGAGCTTTTATAGATTTATAAGCTTTTTTTTTTTCAAAACAGAAAGTAGAATATACTTCTAAATAAAGTATGATGTATAAGAAAATACACTTTTTGAAAGTATAGTTTTTTTCTTCATAAATCTGAGAAAACTCAAAACAGAAAGGGAAGACAGAGGAGATCTTGAGGATCTTCCCAGTCCTGAGTGTTGTAGCCTCCACATCCAGTCTTGGTTTGAAACTAATAACTTGGTGACTTTCTGAGTGCACACAATATCCTCTCTCATACCTTAGGAAAGGCTGACTTACTTTCTCCTCTTTTGACTGTGATTTTGACATTGTTTTGCTCAGGGGTCATCCACTCATGTTTGCAGAGCTGTTTCCTTCACGGCTCTTCCATTTTCCCTTTTGTGTGTTGTGTCCTTCAATTGGGAATCCTCCTTCTGACCATGTCCAGGAGTTACTGGGGAAGGTGGCATTTTCAGGAGGCAGAGGACTCAGCATGCTGCAGCTATGTATGGCTGACATGCCATACACTTTTGAAAGAAATTAATAGACAAACTTCACACTCTCCATATCCCCTAAGAATCCCCAACTCAAAATAATGAGCCTTTAAAAGTACAACTTAAAAAAAAAAAAAAAAAAGATATAGAAATACACCAAAGCTTAATGGAGCTGACCAAATGTGCCATTACAGTATACAGTAATACATCTAACAGTTTTCTTCTCAGCTGCAGCACAGAACAAATGGAGTGAAAAGGCAGACAGTAAAAGCAAAAGATAACTCCTTTCCAAGCTTCCTTATGTTCCTCCTTTGCCCCCATACATATGCACTCTAAAGCAGCATTTCCAGTGCTCATGACAGGTTTGCAGGTCTTTAAGCTCACATGTCTGTGGGTCCCAAGCAAGATACCAAGACCCTGGTGCAAAGGACATTGAGATATGTGTCACATTCAGCATTTCAGTGGTACCTGCTCAGCATTTTGACACATCAGTAACCCAATGAGTGCTCTGTTCATGCAGTCTGTGAGCAAGTCCTGGGTCATACCACTGGGGCAGGTCAACTACACCAAGTGCTACAGCTCTGAGCCTCAGCCCAAGGCAAACACACAAATAAAACCTTCACTCCTGTCAGGAACCAGCTCAGCTTTACCAGGTTCAGACATGGTCTTAGGACCTAAAAACAATTGTGCATGGACAGAAGAGAGTTCATCTGTTTAACAGATAAGTTTGTGAAAAGCTTCTTGGCAAACTGTAGGATTGGAGAATGCGCCCAAGAAGACATGGATGTTCTGCTTCACACATCCAGGTGCATTTTTTCTGCCCGTATTCTGATCAAAGCAAAGCCATCTAGGACTGAAAGCCCTATCCCTGTATCAGTGCAGAACTAGGCTTCAGACCTGGGCTGATCACTGATGGTGTAAACAGGCCCTGACTGGCAGGACTAAATGCTGCAAATGCATCACTGAGCAGGTATTCACACACAAATATCTGCCTGGCTTCTGGTCCTGGTCTGCCACGGGTTCAGCTGGCCCCTGGCACCAGCTAAGCACAAACACCATTGCCTGCTCTCTGTCAGTCACACCCAAAGAGAATTTGGCTTGTTTAATCTAGAATAACAAAAGCCAAGAGAACATTTGTCTTCTAAAGATATCAGCTATGTAAACACTGGGGACAAACATCTGCTTAAGTTTAAAATTAACTTTTGATTGGAGACAGGCATAGACTAAGTTCAGCTAAACTTGGATATGCGCATGTGAAACCAGCTTTTTGGTGGGAATTGCAGGCAGCAGTGGAGGGGAAAGAGAGAGGGCAAGAGGAGGACAAAGCTGCGTTAAAGCTGTTTATTTATGGATGGTAGTTAGGAGTGAATCAAGGGCTGTGGAGTTAAAGAAAAAACTAACCCAAACCAACCAAGAACAAAGTGGCAGCCTTCCCTATTGCCCACTGCCAGCCAGCTGCTCTTACCAGTGCTATGTCTGGAAGTGATATCAAAAGTGCAGATTGAGAATAACGAGCTGACTGCAATCTATCATTTTGGGCTGCTGTTTTTCAGATTAAATACTCTCTTAACTGACAAGACAACTAGATCATCCTCATTGTTTTGGAGAATCTGTGGAAGCTTGGAAGTTAGTGAGAGCACTTGATATGGGCACATGGATCTTTTGGCACATGGACCAGACACTGTACTTTTTGAAGTAGACTTAAGATCGGTAACAACATTACTGGACCAGCACAGCTACAAACCTGTCAAGAACCTGAGAAAAGTGTGAGAGATGCTTCCCATTTTAGACTGAAAACAGTGACCCATAAGAGTGCAGGTGGGATATGTCCTAAACAACAAAGAGGGAGAGCTAGAAAGATGGTGTAAATATACCAACAAATTTGAATACATTTTTTTTTTTTTTTTGCCTTTGGTCAGATGATTTGACAGTTTGTAGTATATCTGTGAATGATCAATTGCTTGGAAAGATGTTGCTGACCTCTTACTAGTCCCTCCAAAAAGGAAAGAGGGAGTAACTTCTATAGATGCTAAAGGCTTCCAATGCACCCCAATAATCCACTTTCAGCAGGGATAGAGATCCTCAGTGAAATAAACTGTATTTGGCCTTTCTGCACTAGGAAGATGAACATGCTGTCAGTCCTGCTGACTTCTGTAGTTAACCCAGTGCTTACTAGATGATAGCGGGGTATTTTCCTGAGATATGTTATCATTATGTATGTGTTTGATAGTAAATATTACCCTTGACCGGTTAAAGTGCTCCTGATTCTCTATATAGATCTATCCTGATATTAAACCACCAGGTACTGAAGGTGTTGTGCTTAGACAGAGTGGTATGGAACTCAAATATCTATAAAGAACCCTGATAAATCACAGGCTTTGCAGATAAACCTCTGCCAAATTCTATTCAAATGGCAAAGAGATAATGTGAATATGACTCTAATGAAGGAAGGCTAGAGTTGCCATAATGCATGCAGGTGCAATTGCTCCAAATCTCTCTTAAAATCCATTTTCCTGCCAGTACTCATTCTTCCTTTAAACAGAAGTTAATACTCTGCTGACATTACTGAACTCCATCATGCTCATTATCTGAGGCTAGCATTTAGATCAGGGTTTTGGAGGTGAAAGACCAATTCATTAACTCTATTGTGTCACTCAATGACTTCCTGTAGAGAGATCATAAGTCAGATGGTGGGTGTCACTGCTGGAAGATAAAAGACAGCTATAAAGTAGGAAGACAACTGTTATAATTCGCAAAAAAAAAATGGGAAAAAATTACCCCATAGCCTTTAATTTCTATTCAGAGTTCAGGTTTTAAGTATGTTATTTAGATAAAAGTGCATTTGATGGATTTTTTTTTTTTTTAAATGAGTTTCAAATACAGAATGGAAGAGGTTATTGGCTGGTTATTTCTTTTTGACCTAAAGAGAAGAAATAATATAGGCAACAAATAACACAACAATTTCTGTAAAAATGAATTAAAAATGAGTGGTTTAAAACCAGATGTTTTGAAATGACCATATATACTAACTTGTCTTGGCTCACAGGGAAGAAAAAGAGTGTTTGGAATATTGTTACTTTGCCAAAACGATAATGTTACGAAACTGTTTGAATTTTTGTTAAAGAAAAAAACAGCTGCCAGGGATCAAAATCCATTTATTTGATACAAACAAAAACAAATCCCCACTTCATTTCCTCAAAGTACAGAAAATGCTTATTTTTAGAATGCTCTTTGGATGAAAGAATTTTTAAGACTTTTTTATGGAAAGTAGGTTCCTACTGCTACTGGTTATCAATTGAACATCAAGCTTCTCAGTGTGCACATGAAAAATGCTTTTCATGCTTCTACTTGAGGTTTCCTAAGAAAAATTTCAAGTACAAGCCTTTTCAAGTGTAATTAGCAACTACTTAACATGAAGAAGCAGTGTCAAATAAGGAAAGCTTTTGCCAGAGAGCTTTGCAGCTTCTGTTTGGGTTCCCTCTACCTGTTGCACAACAAAACCGTGGAAGATAGAGTGACTTTTTTCTCCCATTGCAGGGGTGAACCTTTAACAATATAAGTATTTGCAAGGCTTCTCCAGCTTCAAAGCACAGAGAACAAGAGACCATTTTTTAAAAGAGGTTGGGCAGCAGCTTTACAGAAAGCCCTGGGCTCCCTTGGAGCACCCACCTGAAGTGCAGGCCCTCGTAACTGATTGTTATTGGGAGGTGCTTGTTGGGGCTCTCATTTGCTGAAGAAAGAGAAAAGAATCCTTGTAGAACAATGTTGAGATAAAAGCAACTAAACATATATGTTTTAGTACTTTAGTATTTTTCTTCCTTTCCAGGTCTCAAGCTGTCAAAAAAAAACCATGACTTGGGAAGGCCATGCTGGATGTGGCTTTGAGCAACCTGGTCTAGTGGAAGGTGTTCCTCCCTGCCTGTGGAACTAGATGATCTTTAAGGTCTTTTCCAACCCAAACCATTCTATGAGTCTATAAGCTTAAGATCTTGCTCTGTTTCAGATCTATTCAAACCCTCTTATAGAATCATAGAATCATAGAACAGTTAGGGTTGGAAAGGACCTTATTATCCCAACAGCCCTGTAAAACAATGTTGGTTGGTTGTTTTTTTTTCCTCCATTGATTCCTTCATAGAATCATAGAATCATAGAATAATTAGGGTTGGAATGGACCTTAAGATCATCTAGTTCCAACCCCTGTGCCATGGGCAGGGACACCTTATGCTAAATCATATCACCCAAGGACTCGTCCAACCTGGTCTTGAACACTGCCAGCAATGGAGCATTCACAACCTCCCTGGGCAACCTATTCCAGTGCCCCACCACCCTGACAGGAAAGAATTTCCTTCTTCTATCCAACCTAAACTTCCCCTGTTTAAGTTTTAACCTGATACTACTTGTCCTATCACTACAGTCTCTAATGAAGAGTCCCTCCCCAGCATCCCTATAGTCCTCCTTCAGATACTGGAAGGCTGCTATGAGGTCTCCATGCAGCCTTCTCTTCTCCAGGCTGAACAGCCCCAACTTCCTCAGCCTGTCTTCATACGGGAGGTGCTCCAGTCCCCTGATCATCCTCGTGGCCCTTCTCTGGACTTGTTCCAACAGTTCCATGTCCTTTTTATGTTGAGGACACCAGAACTGCACACAATACTCCAGGTGAGGTCTCCAAAGAGCAGAGTAGAGGGGCAGGATCACCTCCTTCGACCTGCTGGTCACGCTCCTTTTGATGCAGCCCAGGATACGCTTGGCTTTCTGGGCTGTGAGCGCACACTGCCTGCCCATGTTCATTTTCTCATCAACCAACGCCCCCAAGTCCTTCTCTGCAGAGCTGCTCTGAATCTCTTCTCTGCCCAACCTGTAGCTGTGCCTGGGATTGCTCCAACCCAGGTGTAGGACCTTGCACTTGTCATGGTTAAACTTCATAAGGTTGGCATCAGCCCACCTCACAAGCGTGTCGAGGTCCCTCTGGATGGCATTCCTTCCCTCCAGAGTATCAACCGAACCACACAGCTTGGTGTCATCAGCAAACTTGCTGAGGGCACACTCAATCCCACTGTCCATGTCAGCGATGAAGATGTTAAACAAGACAGGTCCCAACACCAATCCCTGCGGGACGCCACTCGTTACTGGTCTCAAGCTGGACATTGAGCCATTGACCACAACTCATTGTGTGCGGCCACCCAGCCAGTTCTTTATCCACCGAGTGGTTCATCCATCAAATTGATGTCTCTCCAATTTAGAGACAAAGATGTTGTGTGGGACAGTGTTGAACACTTTGCACAAATCCAGGTAGATGACATCAACTGCTCTACCCCTGTCCATCAGTTCTGTAGCCCCATCATAGAAGGCCACCAAACTGGTCAGGCAGGATTTCCCCTTAGTGAAGCCATGCTGGCTGTCACCAAGCACCTTGTTGATTTTCATGTGCCTTAGCATGCCTTCCAGGAGAATCTGCTCCAAGATTTTGCCAGGCACAGAGGTGAGACTGACTGGTCTGTAGTTCCCTGGGTCATCCATTTTCCCCTTCTCGAAAATGGGGGTTGTATTTCCCTTTTTCCAGTCTTTGGGAACTTCACCTGACTGCCATGATTTCTCAAATATGATGGCCAGCGCAACTTCATTTGCCAGATCCTTCAGGACCCATGGGTGGATCTCATCAGGTCCCATGGACCTGTGCACGTTCAGATTTTTAAGATGGTCTCGAACCAGTTCCTCTCCTACAGTGTTCCAGTTCCTCCCCTTCATCCTCACAGTCCCTGCATCTGCCTTCCAAGACTTGGGTGGTTTGGTCAGAGCCTTTGCCAGTGAAGACCGAGGCAAAGAAGTCATTCAGAACCTCAGCCTTCTCCAAATCCTGTGTAGCCAGCTCTCCCGAGAGCTTCCTGAGGGGACCTACATTCTCCCTAGTCTGTTTTTTATTTGCTATGTACTTGTAGAATCCCTTCCTGTTATCTTTAATACCTCTAGCCAAGTTTAATTCTAACTGGGCCTTAGCTTTCCTAACCTGGTCCCTAGCTTCCTGGACAACATCCCTTTATTCTTCCCATGCCACCTGTCCTTGCTTCCACTTATTATAAGCCTCTTTTTTCATTTGAATTTTCCTCAGCAGCTCCTTATCCATCCAAGGAGGTCTCCTGGCCCTCCTGCTGCACTTCCTTCTGGTTGGGATGCAACGCTCCTGAGCTTGTAGCAGGTGATCCTTGAATATCAACCAACAGTCTTGGGCCCCTCTGCCCTCTAGGGCTGTATCCCATGGAACCTTACTAAGCAGGTTCCTGAAGAGGCCAAAGTCTGCTCTCTTGAAGTCCAGGGCAGTGAGCTTGCTGCACGCCCTTCTCACTGTCCTGAGGATCTCAAATTCGAGCATCTCATGATCGCTGCATCCAAGGCTGCCCTGGAGAGTCACATTTCCAACGAGCCCTTCCCTGTTGGTGAGCATGAGGTCAAGCACGGCTCCTCTATTACTTGCAGAAGGAAGTTGTCGTCCACACAATCGAGGAACCTCCTGGATTGCTTGTGCTGGGCCGTACCGTCCTTCCAACAGATGTCAGGGTGGTTGAAGTCCCCCATGAGAACAAGGGCCTGCGAGCGTGAGGCTTTTCCTATCTGTCTATAGAGTGCTTCATCTGCAGGTTCTCCTTGATCAGGCGGTCTGTAACAGATCCCCACAGTAATGTCTCCCATAGCTATATTCCCTTTAACCCTGACCCACAAACTCTCTGTGGACTGCTCACCTGTCCCCAGACACAGTTCCATACTCTCCAGCCTATCCCTAACATAAAGGGCAACTCCCCCTCCCCGCCTGCCAGGCCTGTCTTTTCTAAAGAGCCTGTAACTTTCCATTCCAACACTTCAGTCATAGGAGCCATCCCACCATGTTTCTGTGATGCCTATTATATCATACACCCGTAGACATGCGCCCATCTCTAATTCCTCTTGTTTGTTCCCCGTGCTATGGGCATTTGTATAGAGGCATCTGAGCCGAGCTCCAAATGAAGCCGGCTCATTGGCTGGAGTGGCTGGGACATCTCTACATTGCTCCGACCATTTATTATAGGTGCTGGCAACTGAGTGGGTGTGCTGGAATAGAATGATGCCCCCTCCCCCAACACATCTAGTTTAAACGATAAAAAGGAGTGCAGTTCCCAAGATACACATGAAAGAAGAAATAAGTTTTCCTTTCATCTAGCTGTTTTGAAACACTACCTTACCTTCTTAATCCTGCTCACACTTCAGCAAACTCCTTTTAGTGCTAAACTATTCTTACCTTAAGTGAGAATCCCCTTCTCGGCTCCTTTAAAGATGAAAGACAGAACCAAAAGGGATCACAGAAAAAAAGGAAATGCTATGGTTGTGTCAATCTCTCTATTATTCATGCAGTTACTTATTGACAAATTTTGTTCCTCTTATTATGTTATCTATCAGCATCCTCTGCTCTATTTTTCATCTGGATTGAGGCACTCTCCACAAAAAACTTCACTACTTTTCATCCATTTTATTCCTTCTGTCCCCCCCTCCTCACACCCTGCAACTGTAGGCTGTGCTCACTTGCACTATTTTCTGCTGTTAACAGAGTGGTTGATTTTTTTTTCCATCGAAGAGCAGCTCTGTAATTGGAGACCTAAGAGTCACTTAATATAAAGATCACTGAGAATCATAAACCATTTTCTTCTTGACCTTTTCTACCAAAACATTAGCTTCTGAGTCAGCCTGCTTTGAAGCTACAGAAGCACTACATATTGTCTTGCTGATTTCTGACTCGAGGCAGTTCTTTTCTTCCATTTCCTCCTTTTTTTAGCATCTGAAGGCTGAAATTTTATAATATGCTATTGTTTTTTTTCTTTTTTTTTTTCTTCTTTTCCAGGAACAAATGTCAGCACATCAAGAGCTCACTGTCTTTAGTGTGTGTCACTTGAGATCACTAGGGAAAAGAATACTTCATATGTCTCCTTATTGAATCATAAACCATGGGTGATACTATGAATATTTTTCACAAAAGTTCTGGGATCAGTCATTTGAGCATCACTTCACTGATAAGCTAAATCCATAAAAACTCTGAACACTGAAGATGGGAGCTAAAAATAAATATTATCCCAGAAACAAAGGGCTATGCAATCAAAACATTGCTCTTGTATGTAAATTTTATGTTTTGTTGCATAGTTTATGCTTTTTTCCTATCAATTATATACCATTTGTAATAAAAATAACTGCACAGTCATATACACATATATTTGAGTTGCTCACCTCTTCTCTGTTTAGATGTCAGTCTTAAATCTTCCACACATGAAATGTCTTCTGCAGCAATTTAATTCTCTCAGACAACTGTATCATAGTTGCTTTTAAGGAAAACAGCTTTTAACTTCTGGGAAAATGGTTCATACCATCTTCCTGGTCTTTGGTTAGCAGGGAGAGGGGTATGTGAAATCACCACAGATACATTTAGCAGTTAGAGACAAAAGCCACTGTAGCTCTCCTACCGCCACACAAATTCACCTTCAGTAGATGCAGAAAGCTATCTCATGATCATATAGCTATGGCTGTGGACAGGGTCCTTCTCCTCATAGCTACAACTTTTATACAGCCTGCAAAATTAAATAGAAGAACTTTGATATTTCCATGATAATCGATAATTCCCTGTACTGCCACCCGGCTAGAGGTGTTCACTGTGATGTTCATAAGCACTCACTGAATTTAATGAACATCTGGGAGGGGTACAGTAAGCAGAAAGACTTCAGCATATCTGTCTGGAAAAGCTAGTGCAGATTTTCCATAACTTTTTTCAGTTTTCCATTCATCAAGTTTATGCCTAATGTGATAAAGAAATTGAATACATTAAACATTTACAACAGGGCTGCTAAATTGCCACCTAGTGGTCTTGTGATGAAGTTAATGTCTCCGGCACCCTGATCTGGGTGAACAAAATACCAGTGTGCTTTTTGTACTTTTGTCAGGACCTCCATAATGGTAATCAGTGACAGTTCGCCCGTGATGTGGCCACAGTGGAGGGGCAGGAGAGCACAGCTTCCAAGCAAAACAGGACTGTTGGGACTGCTGGGGTGCTGGGGGCAGCTTGTGCAGGACTTAGGACACCAAAGGGGAATTCTAGGCCAACCAACCAGCCTGTGTGCAGGGTGAAAAATGCTACCAGGTCTATCCTCTGTACTACTTGTATAATTTTCCTTTTTAACAACCCCTTCCCCCCCCCCAAAAAAAAAAAAAAAGTAAACATTTGATATGAAAGGAAATAAAAGATTTTCTGACTGTTGGTAATGAGTAAAAAGTTAGGGGTTTTGTCCTTTCAAGGCTCAACCAGCTCCAGTGTAGGAAGCACTTTGCTTTCTCCCACCTTCTAGTCTCACCCCACCTGAGCCATATGCTCATCAGCATGTGCTGTTTACACAGAGCCAAGCAGATGGGAAACAATGAAGAAACACAAGTAGAACAATAAGTTTTGCAGTTCTGCTTTTGCGGTTAGTCACGTAGGTCTGCCCAGAAGCTACTATAAGACGCTAAAAATAATTTTCAGTGTGATGAGCTGCACAAGCAAAGTCTTCAGGGATTTACGTGCCCTGAATCATTTCACCAATAATCAGCTTGGTGTGCACCGGATTGTCTGTTGGCAAACGTGATGCTCGCAAGAGGTGGAAACAGCAGAGGCCTTGTGTTAGGAAGCAGTCCTGGAGCGGGGGCTGCAAGCTAAATCTCTGGGAGGATGCATCAGCTGTGTCAGAGATAAGTCAGCGATAAGTCAGTCCACAACAGCAGAATCCAAATGATTCATCTTCCTCCTCCATCCTGTCACCTGCTGAGACAGAGTGCACCTTAGCAGCTAAAGAAGAAATATCAGCCCTGGGAGACAGACTGAGTACCTGTATTGTACCTTCAGAGAGGTTCTGGATAGTTTAAAGTGTCACACGAGTATGGCATTGGTCTAAAAATGCTGCATAATCTGAGAGCTTAACCCTGGCCAAAACGCATCCCCTTGCTGGGTCCTACATCAAGGTATTGGCACTTCTTAACTCTCCCTACCTCTCATAACGAACTGAAGGCCCTGTAAGTGAGGGTCATCACTCCCACAGAATACAAAGTGAGACAGGTCAGGAAAACTAGATAAGGAAGAGAAAAATAGGGCAGGATGAGGGACAGGACTTGCACAGTAATAAAAATATTAAATTGGTAACAGTCTTCCTACATTTGTGACTAGGTTTTGTGACTAAAGTACAACTCACCATATATAGTATCATATATGGTTCTCTTTTTTAATTTCCTATCACTTTTGGCCTTTTTGAGCTTAATCTATTTTAAAATACAGTCTGATTTTTATTTGTGGACATTTTCCCCCTCTTTTTTTTGTTTTGTATGTCACATACAGCTTTTTTTTTGTTTCACACTCTCCTTCGTTCTTTTTCAGGATTGATTTGGTTAAATTTGCACCTTGTTTCTCTTGATTTGCAACTGTTTTGTTTAAAACAAGTATTTATTCTTTCACTGCTGTCTGGCTCCATTAACTTAAACATATTTCAATGAAGTTCTCTGTACAGTGAATAGTTATCTCTACACTGACTTAATATTTCTTTTTGTAAGACCACAGCTTCCTTTTTTTTGGCTATTCTGGAAGTACAGCAGTAGAGGAAGTTGTAAACGTACTCCACAACGAACATATCACTAGTACAAAGCACCTAGCATAACAAAAAGGCATGCAACTGAAAATCAGTTTACTCCTTAATGTACTCTAGGTGATTTGATCTTTAAGGAGTACACAATAAAAGGTGAAAGGTAATCAGTACAATACCGTCTGAGAAACTACAGGGTTAACTGCATACCTGTTTTCAATGAAATTATCAAGGGGCGGAATGCCCTATGAATGCAACCAGCTTTCAAACAATAAATAACCTGTTCCAAAACCCAGAAGCTGGTAAGCCACAAAATAGAATCTAGATAGCAATTAATCATTTGAAGTGTGATGTGTGCCATGAGTTTCTGTTTCCCCTAGCCTTTCCTGAGCTGGTCTTTTCAGGGTCGATTAGGATTGGCTGTTACTAAGGGATTTACCATAGAGTCAATCTGTCACTGTTCTGCTGTCCTAGTATCCTGATTTTTCAGATCTTGTTCAGAATGCCATGTCAAATGGCATTCACATGTCTCTGGAAGAAATGCCTTTAATCTCTTATGCCTGAGACAGACAACATTAAAAACCTTCAGACACATCTCTCAACAACTTCTGCTGCCCTTTTCAGGTAGGAAGTTCTAGATCCTCCTGTCTTCTTCCCCACAAATAGCCAGAGTTAGTGACTTGAGAACAGTGTATGGATCACTCATTACATTTTTTACTTGATGCTTATACACAGATTTACAAAAACACCAAATTCTTTCAGTAGGAAGAAAGCATGCTCCAGGGTTACTGTGCTAGCCTTGAACAAGAGACAAAACTATTCAATTGCCAAGTGTAGAGAATATGTGGCAGCTTGAGGGTGGTGAGAACCTATTTACAGTGGCTCCATTGGCTCTAAGATGGCGTACTGTCTCTGTCTTGTCTTCATCTTATATGGTTACGCAATTTTTCCTCAGTTCAGAGAAATCAGAAGGAACTATTTCCCCCTAAAAAAAAAACAAACTAGTTGTCATACCTGAAGATGAGCTGTGTGGGGCAAGCTACCTACACTAACTGCTTTAGCAGGGATGCTGGCCTAGATGACTTCCTGAGGTCCCTTCCAGCATCAACCATCCTCTGATTCTGTAACTTGTTTGGCAAGGAGCTGCTCTGAATTTTAAAAATTGAGATACATTCAGACACTTAAAAATGGCCCATAGCTTTCTTGGCCAATTAGCGCATCTCAGGTTAACTGCCAAAACAGGGCTTTCACAGAGTTTCTTTGAGAGATGTTAAAAACATGAGCAGGGAACTCACAGGACTCACAGTAACAGTCGTGATCTAAGTTAAGATTAATTTTTGAATGGATAGAGTGGGTTTCAGTTAAAGGGATTTAAAAGTTCAACTGGAATCTTATGGAGTTTTTTAATAATTTTCAAAAAAAAATGGTGTGTGAATGAGACAAGTTTGAACCTTTATATGCAAAAATTACTTTCATTTATTCATTTTTTAATTTAATTTTTTGTCTGTCAAATCCAGTAATAAAAAAAGCTGAGGACACTGAAGACAAATCCCTCCTGCCTTTTTTTATATGGAGCTGGTATTTATAATGAGCCTCCAGTAAGCTCTGTCATGTTAAAATGAACTTTCTGAATTACTGTTGTCCACCTGATTTCACAATCAGCCCATTGCAACCCACAACACTGCCACTAACAACCTAACCAAAGGCAAACATTTCTTTAATGTCTAGATCAGTTTATGCTGAATACTCTCAACACCTTTCAGCAGCAGTAGCACTTAAATACAGCTGGACTGGAAAAAAAGAGAACATCTGAATTTTCCAAAAGCCTCATGTATCTGCTATTCTTTCTCCCCTGCTGGAATCCTGTAAGTTATAAATGCTGTGGGCTTTTTTCATTTTTCTGCTGTGCCTTGCAAATACTTTGTGTCTTGTCCTGGGTGTAAACATTAGCAAGATGGATCGTCATAGGAAAGTGATTTCTCTGTTAGAAAGCCAGTAGACTTATAAGCCATATATAAATATTATGTATAAAAATTCGGTTCAAGAAAAAATATCAATTTGTCTACCAGGTACATATCTGTTGTACTTTTTGGTGTGGACAAATCATACAAACTATTGTGTTTTGGAACTTCACAGGAATAAAATGGTCAGAGACAGTACCTTTACTTGCAGCATGAAGTCCAATTCCAGTTACCACTTCAGATGTATTTTTCTTTACTTTTCCAGGACCACCTCTATTTACTGTTTTTCAAAGAAAGACAATACCAGGTAGATGGGACTGGAGCTGTGGAGGAGAGGTTGCCTATATTAATTCTTCATTTATCTTTTCAATCATCTTAATAAGGCTTAAAGAATAAGCAAAAAATTATTCTTCTCTGGCAGCAACAGAACTGTTCAGATGCTAGGGTCCAGGTTAAGATGAGCTTTGAAAAAAATATTAGAGATAGGCCACTGATGCATATTACCAGATTAAATCCTTTCTTTGTTATCTAGTCCTCTTTGTGCATTAA